GATGGATTTGTCTTCGATTAGGGTTTTAGTCAAAGGTGGGTAGATAAATTGGTGGGTCGGGTCAGTTCTGTTTTAGTTAGCGGGTCTGGTCTGGTTTGGTTAGAGGTTTGGTTAGGTTTGGCTGACATGGAGGGTTTAAATGACGTGGCGGGTCGGGTCAGTCAATTTTGGGGTTAAAAACTGCTGATTAGGCAAATCCGTCAGCCACGTCATCACTTAACGGACGTTGTTAACGGCGTTGGACGGCAGCTAATGGAGAGTGACCATAAATGAACGGTTTTTGTAAAGTTAGTGACCACAAATGGATTTAAATATTTCTAGTGATCAAATATGAACGCTTTTTGTAATTTCAGTGACTAACCATGCAATTAACCCCGAGATGTTCTCTCCTATTTTGTTTCCCTGCCACTGTTGGTAGCTTCGGGAACGGAGGAAATCTTTTAAAAAATATCACTTTCATCACCTTAAGGAACTTAAGAAATCGCCTTAGTGAACTTATCAGCAAGACTATCAAACGTGTCAACTTTCATCACCTTATTTCTATTAGATTTACAAGACAGTATGAATAAGAGACCATGTTGATTCACCAAAGCTTGCATCTTGATATGCAATACCTTAAAAAAAGTTTTCCTATGAACTTTTTGATTTTTATGTCCATTTGAATATTGATTAGAAATAACATTTCCCCACTAACAGACATGAAAAATCATTATCCAACTTTTTAGCGTATGCCCGAATCCCCTAACTATTAGATATGAAGTGCTATGGTCAATACATATAGGGTTCGTTCGGATCAAGAATTTTAATTTGAAGGATTTACATGAGAGAGATATGGGTCCAAATCTCTTATTTAAAAACTCATGAAATTCAAATGAGGTATTTTATCCAATTTACTCATTTGGTTAGACATGAGAGATTTGAGGTCGAAAATTTTCTTGCAGATGAAATATGAGTTTAAGGGCCAAACCATTATTAGGGTTTCTATGGCAAACAGAGTAAATGGAAAAATAGAGGAATGTTAAGGCGGATGAAAAGTGGAGGATAGCGACGGAGTCCTAGAAATAAATCTCATTTCTGCGGGTTAGGAGTTAGGACGTTGGTCGCCGTTAAAATTGCTAAATGTCGCCCTAAAAAACATCAAAGTTACAAATTTAACCTTTCAGTTTCTTTACTCTTCCTTTAGCAAACAAACACAACTTAGTAAAGAAAATAAAACATTATTCAAAAGAGAGAATCCATCATCGTCATTCTAGAGTTGGAATCGTCGATATGATGTCTGGAGCATGACTAGCGACTCTGAATCGGTAAAGTTCACTCAAAAAATTGAAAAAAAAACAAAAAAAGGGAACCGTAGCTCATTTGCGGTTGCACCATGGGCCAACCGCAGCTCACTTGCGGTTGCACCATGGGCCAACCACAGCTCACTTGCGGTTGGTCCATGGTGCAACCGCAAATGAGTTGCGGTTGGTCCATGGTGCAACCGCAGCTCACTTGCGGTTCCACCATGGGCCAACCGGAGCTCACTTGCGGTTGCACCATGGACCAACCGCAAGTGAGTTGTGGTTGCACCATGGACCAACCGTAACTTGCCTTAGGTTGAGCGTTTTTTTGGAAATTTCTTTAGAGAACGAGCGACGACGACGGCAGGAAAGACGCCAACGAACTGGTGCGTCGAGAGGGATTCGCGAAGAAGGCAGATGAGAGGTTCAGTTTGAGGGGTTAGGGATTGTTTGGTTTGTTTAAATTTTGAAATTTTATTGGGGGTATATAAGTAATTTATCATTAGAATTAGGGCGATCGTTAGCAATTTTAAGGGCGACATTTAGCGATTCAGCCAATTATTGGCCTTCAACGACTTCTCTCTCTATCCACTGTTTGTGCGCCACAAAAAGTAATGAAAGCACCTCTCTAGCTTTTGCCCCTCTCATCAGAATTTTGAGTCAACTTTTCTTTTTGGCTCCAAATCAGGTATGATTTGGCGAGTCCGATTTGATGACAAAAAGTTGTTCCGCACCGGAATTCAAAATATGACATATGAAATATAACATCAAATTAGAGTAAATGCCAAGTTTGGTCACTAGGTTTATTAAAATGTGTCATGTTTAGTTACTAAAAAAATTAATATCACTTTTGGACACTTTAATTAGTTAAACAGTACATGTTTAGTCACTCTCCATTAACTTTATATGATGTGGCAGTCAACCCTAACAGTTGGCCATTAAATGTCTGAAGTGGCAATTAAAAAATTTAATAAAAATTTAATAAAATTCTTTTAATATTTCCACATTATTAAATAATAATACAAATAAATAAAACCAAAACTTCAGGTGTAGCAAGACGTTGCCCAGTATCAAAATCCCGGCTTCGGAGGCTTTCACGGCCACGTGGTGAGCGATGTTCTCGCCGGAGCTGTCACCGACTAGGTACACGTGTACGTCGGAGGAGTTGTTGTCCTTGCCGCTGCGGAGAATAAGAAGTTTCGAATAACCGAGTAACCGACGATTATTAATCGCGGTTATCCAAAAAAACCGACCCAAACCGACCAACCCTCATATATTGCCCTCCCTAAAAAAACGACATATAAAACCCTTAACCCCACTCTGAAACTCTATAATCCCCTCAGACCCTCACCCTCACGGCCGCCACCCTAGGGATGGCAATTTTGCCCATACCCATGGGTATTTTACTATCCAACCCAATTGGGTTGGGTATGAAATCCAAATATATGGATATGGGTAAAGTTTGATGAGTTTGTACCTATACCCATTTACTTTGGGTTGGGTTGGGTTTATAACAAATGGATTTGGGTTTGTACTCATGCCCAAATACAAATTACATTTTGGTACCTGAACTTAATAGATATGCATGTTTAGTACCTAAATTTAATTTTTTTGCATATAAGTCCTCAAAATATCTATGGAAAATTACGTTTTAGTACCTAAATTTTTTTTGTCTTACATTTTGGTACCTAAACTTTTCAAGTTTTACAAATAGGTCCAATTTTTGCATGTGTAGTTAAAACACCCTCAAGTAAATGGATATCCATATCCAACCCATACCCATTTAGATAATATCCATATCTAACCCAAACCCATATACAAACCCCAAACCCATACACACATCACCCAAACCCTACCCATAATAAATGGGTCTACTTAGGTTTGGGCAAAATTACCCATGAGTGGGTAAATTGCCATCCCTACGCCACCCTGCTCCCTTCCTGGTCGCCTCACGGCCGCCGCCTTCCTCCGTTCCTTGCCGCCATGCAGATCCTTCCTCGTCGCGTCGCACCCGTCCAGATCCCTTCCTCGCTGCCGCCCAGATCTCTTCCTCATCTCGTCGCCTCCATCCTTCCTCTTCCCCGTCCATCCGTCGTCGCCATCCCCGAGCAGATGAACCGCGGCTGCGAAAGAGAGAAGGAGAAGAAAAATGGTTTGTGGTCGTGAGTTCAGAGAAGAACAACAGAGAGAGAAGGGGAATTAAGTTTGGCCTAGAGAGAAAAAAAAGAAATTGGTTTTGGCTGGGAGAGAGAGGAGAGAAAAAGAGGCTTGGAACCTGGAGGGTAGCAGAGCGAGGGGAGAAGAAAAGACGTTAGCTTTTTTTTGGATGAGGAGAGAAGAAGAAGGAGGACAAAAAAGTGTGTTGTGGTTTCTTTTCTTCTATTTCTTTTTTTTTATTTAATTTGTTTGTACTTAATTTGGCTAACCGCGGTTATAACCGATAACTGACCGGTCGGTTAGGCGGTAACTGAGTGAAAGGTGCCAGTCGATATTCGATAATGCTAGGGGGTCGCTCGGTTTAACCGAAAACCGACTTTTCATTTTCGGTTAAACCGAAACCGACCGACTGACAGCCCTACTGGGTAGAGAGTGAGGCCCGCCATTTTTATTGAATTTTATTATTTAATGATGTGGAAATATTAAAAAATTAAATTAAATTTTTATTAAATTTTTAATTGCCACTTCAGACATTTAACGGTCCACTGTGAGGGTTGAGTGTTACATCATATAAAGTTAACGGAGAGTGACTAAACTTGAACCGTTTTACTAATTCGAGTAACCAAAATTGATAATAAATTTTTCAGTGACTAAACATAACATATTTTAGTAAATCCAGTGACCAAACTTGACATTTGTAATAATCATTGCTATTGGTTTTCAACTTCATTTCACGTTTAAAGCACGAGTTGTTCCTTGAGTCGACTTCTTTCAATAGTATATTAGGAAAAATAATAATGTGAGATCATATGCAATGGATAGTGTTTATTATTTTGATTAGCTGTTAATTAAATGCAGACCCTGCATATTCCTTACCCTTGGACCAAATTGGTTATTGGGCAGTTAAAAGTTAAAACTGTTAACTTGTGTAAGTAACTTCATTTCTTTTTATGCAAGTTACTTGTTTTTTTTTTTTGTCCAAATTTCTTCTGTTTTTGTCTAACTCACTTCCGTTTTTCTTTGGGAGTTTCGGGAACTCATTTGGGTAGTTGGATTACATATAGACAAATAGAAGCAGGTTGACGTGAAATGACAAAGAAATCAGAAAGGTGGTAATGACTGATCATTATTGGCTCACCTGAATCCCAGATCAGTGAATGGATTGATTCAATAAGTGGCACTAGACTTAAATCTAATTGATTCTTCTGCAAAAGCTCCAAACAAAACCTTAACAAGGAAAATGCTGGTTTTCGTTCCGATACCCTAACATATAACCCGTTCTTATAACGAGTCATCTCTACCAAAACTTCTAGAAAACTCTCAGACCATTCACTTAGTTTCGATTGCAGGAATCAAGGGAAAGAGTGGTGTAATTCTTTACTTTGATGGCAAGCCACAATGAGTTGATGGAACCCAGAATAGAATATAAGAAAAACCTTGCGAAAAATGGTTCCTTTCTTTCATTAAGCAAAGCTACTTCCAACTTTATTCTTTGCTCACAGTTCACAGCTTGACAACCCCATCCATCTTTCCCTTAGCATCACCACCAAATGGCTTAGAATATCAGAACCTGTGTTCCCCTGTTCTGTTCTTTTTCATAGTTCAACAATGTCTGCCATTGTTAACCTCTCAAGTGTCCTCCCACATAAGGGCACCTTCCCTTTCGCCTCCTTCAAAGGGTGGTCATCACCACCACGAGCCTCGAGAAGCAGTGACAAGCCATGGATTGTGGCGAACCAAGGTCGCAGCACCATCGTTAACAGCCATATATCGAGAAGGCAAGCTGAGAAGAAGAGATTACTACTGGTCATTACCACAAAAACAAGAACAACCAAGTGCTTGTCAGTGGATGACGTGGACATCACGTCAGCTGGGTCTGATCCCATTTCCCCATATGTTGTCGTCAACAGCTTGTATGAATATATCAATGCAAAGAAGTTGAAGGAACTTGGAGACCTGATCTCTGTGGATTGTACCTTGGAGGATTGCTCATTTCCTTTCCCAATCCAGGGGAAGAAGGTCGGTGGGTCTCTTCATCAGTGATATTTTTGTTGGATTGTCCTACATTTTCATGATTTATAAGTTTGTACAAAGTTATAAACAGCCAATTTTTTTTCTTTTGTTTGTTTGATTTCACAGGAAGCCATGATTTTCTTCCAGCAGCTCACCAGCAGCATGGGCCAGAATGTGAAGTTCAGAATCGACCGAGTCTGCGATAATAGCCATGAGCTCACAGCCGCCATCAACTGGCACCTTGGTAATGTGCATTACTAAACTACCCAGTTGACCTATTATACAGATATTTCATGAATTATTTTCAATCATGGATTTGATCTTTCTTATCTAATTCAGCTGTATTCAATTGCTGCAGAGTGGAATAAGACTCCCATACCATTTACTAGAGGGTGCAGCTTCTACGAGTGCACAATGGGACAAGGATCTAGCCTGGTCATTAAGTAAAATTTTAAACTAACTTGTAACTTCAAACGAAGAACAAAAACTGCTTAGTAATTACTGAAATGTTAAAGTGTAACTCTGTGCAGGAAAGCTTTAGTTGTGATCGAGTCACCTATTAAACCAGGAGGCATTGTTCTGGTAATTAATTACCAATCCGAAGCATTCAGAAAGCCTATAATACACTTATTAGATAACCTCCTACTGATGATTCATACTCTACTTTTCAGGCATTGTTAAGGAATGTGACCGCATTATTCGACGAATTCCCTACAGCAGCTGAATGTGAGATTCTCCATTATTAATGCTAACACAACCAGATCCAGCATTCTTGGTTGTACAAGTAGTGGTATTAGTAGATGACTAGATGAGCAAAATATATACAACCCATCATGGATTCAGTCTTCCTAGGCCAGTATTCACTAATCATCACAATAAAATAAATAAAAAACTCTTGCTTAACGTACCTTTTTGGTTTGCTATTGGGTGCTACAGGGTTCTTGCAGAGTCCTCATGTAATCATCCGATTCTTGATGCGAATGTACTCTACCTTTATGGCACCAGTTATCAATCCACTTATGGCTGGCTACTTCAAGATGTGGACTTTAATTGCTCGCTTCTTCACTCTTGGAATTCAACTATTGCTCTACATCTCAAACAAGTATTTTGGAAAGGATTAGACTTTGATCCTCTGTGACCCTGTTCGATTCAATTGGTAAGAGATGAATTGGAGAAACCGCAACTGGAGCAAATAGTAGAAGTGAAAGTGTATGCCAAAAAAGTTCATCAAATAAGTGAAAGGATTGGGAAACAGTTAGGTGCTCATTGTTTTTTTTTTTTTTTTTGTATGTAAAATTATAAAATAAGTGAGTTGTATGAAACAACTTAAATAGCACCACCTCCCCAATGCTCCCACATTTATGAAAAACAAAGAGCTAAATAAGTCTTTGCATATATACCTGATGATCAATCAAATCATTTCTTCCTTAACAACTCCAGGATGGATTCCGTATTCCTCAGTTCCTGAGATTCTTGAGAGTCCTCGTTCTCCTGAGAGAAATCAACTGTGGTGTAAGTCCGGATACCAGGACCATGGCCATTGCAATCCATCTCCCTTCCTTGCTGTGCACGTCTCACTTCTTTCTGATGTTCAGTTAGCTCCAGTTTCTTTCTCTTTGAGCTTGACCGGAACTCCACTATCTCTACTCTTTTTGAGTTCCTGTTATTTGTTGCAACTATGTTGTACCTGCCAAGTGGCATTGGCGGTCTAGATTCACATCTTGAAAGAAAGGGATGAGGAATCTTTCCAAGGTGGATTCTATTGCTTCTGGACAACCTATCCAAGAGATCAAGTAGGCTCTCAGGGTAGTCTAGCTTCATGTCCCCACCATAAGTTGAATTCCAGAAAGATATGGTCAGCTTTGAGATGGAGGAAACCGGGTGGTCCAGAGTTTTTTGTAGGACGGGCGCCTGAAGTTTTAAAAACGAAGAATCTAAGCTGATTGGTGGAAGGCTTCTCTGCAAAGAGCTTAGGATTTCTCCCCACAGACGACTGAGTTGATCCATGATACTTTCATCGGGTAGTCTTTCATGGGATAGCCACTGGAGCATAGGACAACTTATCATCTGCACAAAGTTTTATCACGCGCATTATTCTTTTTTTTTTTTTTTTTTTGTGGATTTCTTTAGATGGTTGTTGTTCACAGATTGTAGTGAAGAATGCCTTACCTCCATAAATAAGAGGATGTTTTGTTTTGAATGGAGAGAGGCGGCTGCATCTGCCAGTGCAGATATTGCCCTGTCAATGGTAAAGATATGTTAGATACTTAGATGCACACCATAAAAGAAAAAGATAGCCAACTATGCATCAAGATTGAGGGCATTAGTCAGGTGAACAAACCTTGAAACTAGAGAAAGATCATCGAGTTGGCTCTGCTCCACCAGTTTCCATGACAACTTCAAGAACCTGTAAAACCATACATGAGAAATGTATGTTGTCTTTTGTTAGGGAGAATGTAAAGAGGCAGAGAGGGTAGAAATAATTGCTCCAACTATAGAGAGCTTTCCATTGGTCTTCTCCCACCTTTCAATTGTACTTTCTGGTATATCTCTTTTTTTTTCATTTAAATTTAGACAGTTAGGTGTTTATTCATACAAAGTTTTTCACATCAAGATATTACATCCATCAGCTAGAAAAAGCTAACAAGAGGCTGCTGCAAGTACCTGGCAGCAAATCCCAGCCGATTACTAATGCCATATGATGTTCCATGATCACGGACACTTTTGCTCCAGTCACCATCAATGATATGTTGCGAAATGCAAATAACAGCATTGCCACATAGGGAAACAAGATGGAAGTGGGGAACCTCATTGCTTAAATCTACTTTAGTTCCACAACGTTTGTCTATGAATATAATCAGCATTGAGCACAACTCCTCGGAAAGCCTGCTTCCCTTTATTGTGGAACACTGTGAGGTACATAGTGTGAGATAAAGCGACTTCCAAACTTCAGTTATGTGTTGTTGTGAAGAAAAGCCACTGACTACCTCAAGAGTTGCTTTGGGGTGACAGTGAGAAACGAATGGATATAATAAGAAATGGCTAAGTACACGATAACCAACTTCCTGATTATCATCCTCAGTTACAAATGGGGAAATCTGCCTGCTATCAATGCAGTCTTTGAAGCCTGTAGCTAAGGAAAACCATAGCTGATGTCCCAAGCGCCCATATGCTCCATGTTTATGCAATAAACAAAATGGGACATAAATATCTTGCAAAGATTCAGATGAACGCCATACCATCTTGAAAAACTTCTCTACTCTCAGGAGAGCCAGTTTTGTTTCATCTTCTCGGGAAGTTGACCGAATCACGGTGCACATAAACACCGTGATCAGATAAATCAATGGTGTAACTTTTTCCATATAACTAATGCTGCTTGTCTCCAATAAATTGTAATAATCTCGCATTTCATTAAGAGGAGTTGGCAGATTCTGAAGGTATGCAAGGTCTAGAGCTATCTTGTATAGAGGAGATCTCAATGCAGTAGGTTGTATTTCTTCAATGAGGACCTCGACAAACTGAAGACACACAGGGGATAATTCATCACTATTACCAACTTTTGAGACTACGGATTCACTTGAAGCCTTCACGAAGCACATCATTGCATTCCAAAAATACATGATATCGGTGAAAGAGATTGAGGAGGTATTAAACTCCAGCTGGACCCTTTTTGCAATAGATTTGAATATCCTTGTGGCTCCATCACGTGCTGATTTTCTATATTCAAGGGCGGCTGATTCGTGACTCATAAGTATGCTTACTACCTTAAGAAAGAAATCAAGTTTATCAATATTCCATGGTTGCCATTTGATAGGCTGCTGTTTCCACGCGTATTCCCCAGATGTTGGAACTTGCACGAGCACAAAATCATTAAGAAGCTCTAGGCATGTGGTCCATAAACAAATAGTTGTAGTATCAAGGCCCATTTGGAATACTGCTTCAAGAAAGGGAGCTAATACCAACTCTATCACTGACGGATGGTTGACACACACATCAAGTTTGTGTAGCAAGTATAACCAAGTGTTCAAGCATGCAGAGTGAACACTTGTGTCACATTTACTCAGTATGATGCCCATTAGAGGTGTCATGATGAGCTTTATGCTTTTCAGAAGACCACTTGCTAGAATTTGAAAACTACTCCTCAGTGTAGATATTTTTTGCACTAGTTGGGTATCCTTCTCAGATGCTCTACTACTCTCACAGGTTAAGAGCGGAGTGTTAATCAGAGCATCAACGAGACCTTCCCAGGCAACCTGTAGTCAAGACGGATGTCTTTAAAAATAATAATGACGATATGCCATTTTTTTCAGGGAAAGAAGCAAATCAAGGCAGGCTGTTTACAGCAACTGAACTCATGGGATCATATTCACACAATCAACACACACACAGAGACACAAAAAAAGAGGACTTTTCCATGAAGGGTCAGTGTACGGTAGTAGTACCTGTGAAGCAATCTGGACTTGGGGATTGTGATCTGTAAATGTCTGCTGTGGAATTTTGAGCATGACATTCATCAAATTACGTTTCTTCGTAGAATAACAGCCTAAGAAGCGCACATACCAGTCCCATGCTTGCAAGGTTTCAACTTTCATACTGCGGTTCATAAGGTCATTCATGCCTGTGAGCAGGCTCCTTTTCAGATCACTAACAACTCCCTGCACAAAGGAAAAGGTATGTATTGGGCTTCTCTGACATATGGATGCATCATTTACCGGATTTAACCCGAGAAGGAAAAAGTGATCGCTCACCTTAGAGAGAGCATCGGAAGGTGGTAATAGCACAGATTTAGTTTTAACAAGAGACATCAGTGCAATACTCCTTTCTCGCCTCTCAACGCTGACAAGTCTTCGATATATAGGAGGAGCCCAAATGTGAGATGAATCTCTCATCTCCGCACTTAACTGATCTACCAACTTAATAACAGCCTGATCCGTTGCAATGACAAGAGTTGAAAGGCAAAGGACCAGCATTGACAAAATTTGAATACATCTTTCAGAAGTTTTTGCTCATACTATCGACGAAATGAAAATAAAAGAATCAAACAAGGGATTCTACCTGAACAGCTTCAAATGTTGTAGACGGCGATGCGTTTGGATTGTCAAGAGCATGGACAACTGCTCGCAACAGTTGATGAAAATGCGCAGCAAGGATAGATGCATCGAATTGTTGCATCGATATGCACCATACGCATAAGTTACAAACTGACTGCAAAGTACAAGTTAACAATGTAACTCAACACATCCTCAAACCATCCACAAGCTAGCTGTTAAATTTCTCTTTACCTTTACCCTCGTTGCCACCACGACTTTGGCCAGTCCATCCAAAACCATGTTGACATTGTCAACTACACAAACCAATTTATAAATTAATGTTACCAAGGAATCGCTTACTTTCTTTCTTTCAACTACAAAACAATGAAAGTCTCAGTTAATACCTGGAATTGAAGCTACGATGGCGGGATGGTAGATCATGAATCCCAAACACTTCAATGCCTGCGCCGCACTGACCTCGAAACAAAGACGCCACTAGTTAATCCAACAACCTGCCAAATACAGTATCTGATAAATCTAATTGGAGGTCAGGAGACTTACATTTCTTCATCGTCGATGGAGATATCGGCGAGGATCGTAGAGACCAGACTCTGAGAGAGATCGGCGAGGATTTGTGTCCGGGAACCATCCTTCCCTGCTTGCTCCTGGAGCTGAAGCAGAGAGAAGTAACCGAGTGACTTGTTTTCCTTGGAGTTGGAGTGAAGTAAGGCAGTGGCTTCCTTCAAGTGATCAGAGAAATCCAACATTTTCCGGTGAGCTACAGCGTTCCGGCTCTACTGAGGAAAGAAGCAACCCTAACTTTCAAGTTTCGATCAGCGAATTTTGAGACATTAGTTGCTTCGTTTGGCGCCAAACTAACTAGGTACGCAGTAACACAGAGTCACTCTCCCGCGCCCCGCGGTTTGGACTTGCGTGCAAGTGGAAAGTGGGCCGGCCCAGGGGTAAAGTGTCCAAATTTTCCTTCTTTTTTTTTTCGCGCCAAACTAAGACCAACTCGCAAGCCCCAAATTTGGGTTCATCCCCATTTTATCTTCTTTTGTTCTAATGCTACATCCTTTATATTTGGAGATCTCCATTTATTTAAAAATATACTTATCGAAGCCTTAATATAATTTGTTCATGTTAATTTTTGTATAGTTCGTCATCATTTTTAAATACAAATTTTTCGGTAGAAATTTTTCTAATTTTGAGACCAAATTTTTGTTGACAAAAAATGATTGACCTAATTTGGGTTTACACACAACACTTGAAAATTATTGATCTAATTAAACCCCTATTAACCCTTAAAATCTAAAAGAAAAAAGAAACGCCACGTGGCGGGCTTTGGGGAGTCTCTATATTTGGGGGAACCCCCATTTCCACCCCCAAATTTGGGGATCCTTTTGGAGATCTCCCCCAAATATAGAGACTCCTCCATTTATAGAGACTCCATTGGAGTCAACTTTCCTCCAAATATAGAGGCTCCCCCATTTATAGAGGCTCCATTGGAGTTAGCCTAAGGACACGTTTGGTAAATTGATGTACGGTTTGAATGCGTGCATTATATATTGATTTATTGGTTAAATGGTTGCATTTTAAGATTACAATGTTTGGTAGTTATTGTTGTCTTTGTAAGAATATAGTAGGAAATTCTTTTTGAATGAAAAGTCACATTTACCTTTCCTTTTAGATATAAAAGTCAATCACTTATAAAAGTTGATAATGGCATAAAAGAGAAGAAAAGTTGATTCACAATCTCAACAATCTCACCAAATAGTTGAGATTCTAAATCATTCATTTTGAATGATTTCAAATGTCACAACAAAAATAAAATACATGCATTGTGTTTTATTTTGCAACAAACAAATGATGCATTCTCTACAATACATGCATAAATATAGTCAAAATCGCGATTTAAAACTTAAAAACTTACAATTTTACGTTTCTAGGTCACTAAAACGATTCTACACAAAGTCACAGTTTTTATAACTTATTTATTTAAAAACTCCGCTTAAAAACTTACGATTTTACGCTTCTAGATCACCAAAACGTTTTTACGTATAAACTCGCTTTTGACTACATTGTATGCATTCATTAAATACATTATTTAGATACGCACCTACCAAATGACCTCTAAGTACAAAGACTCCATAAGATTTTAGAAAAAGGTTAATATATTTTCACGAATGTTTGTTTGTGGATCGAGAAATAGAAATATCGAAAAAGTAAGAATACGAAAACAAAAACACACATGATACACTATTTACGTGGTTCACTAAAACAATTTGTGTTAGCTAGTCCACGGGTAGCAGAGAGCCAGTTCACTATACTTCGAGGAGATACAGATTACATAGTAGTATGAAAAGTATTTATACTACTTATCCATGGTCTAACCCTACTCCAAACTGGTAAAGGAAAAGCAGTTACAACTAGGCCCAGAACATCAACCCGAACGTCTATCGGCCCAATCCATACACCATGGATATCCAGTCGTTAGCCAGATAGTCCGATTCAAGGCACATCAACAATCTTAAATTGGCTCGAACTATATTCAACTAGACTACTTTGGCATATGGTTTTAGAAATTACTCCTGACGATGGTGTATAGTTGAAGCAAGGATAACAATTTATAAAATCACGGGCCAATGTAGTTGTTATAGTTCGAGCCAATTTAATGTATTAACCCTTTAGAAAACGATGGTGACCAAGCGGTCATGCTTAACAGTCTACGATTCATACCAAATTGTGGGATCTGATCCACATTTCAAATGGTCTGGTATATTTTCACTGCCTTAGTTTGAATTAAGATTTTAGAAAAGCATAGTTTGTGTCATTTTTTGCTTTATGGGTTTGGATTGATTGATTTGGGGTGAACTTGGAGGAAATTCATTGTTTGCTTGTCCAAATTTGTAAATCTCTTGGAATTTTTGACATATGATCCTAATAAAAGTAAACGTCCATCATGAAATTCAGCCCATGAATACTCATCCCTTATATCTAGTATTATTAGTACTATATTCAACATGTAGATATGCAATTAACAACAGACAAACCTAAGAAATCATGAAATCAACAAAGATGAACCATTATCAATACAAATTCAAAGCATTCAATCCTAAAATATCCATTAATCCATAAGACAAAGTATAATACTTTTCAAATCATTCATCTCCGAGTCGGATATATCTATTAAGCAATAAATAACTTACATAATCTTGTTAACAAATGGGAAAGAAGTGAAAGCGTGAATGACAAGTTGAGGGAAATAAATTAGTGTTTGGTTTGGGTGACAGCTAAATTACAATCGAACTTTTTTAAAAATAACTCTTCCCATCAATAAGAGTTTATAATATGATCCAGTATTTTTAATATATGAAGGAATACTCTTGATGGAGTGGGTATGACTAGTTGGATATGGGTAATGGGGCTAGGGAGTCTAATACCAAACCCGGCTCTTCTCCATCAAACTTTTTGTGAGTTAGCATCGTGATAGTTCTTAAACATATGATATGAGATCATAGCATGTATATTAAAAAGTTATTTGAATGATAGGTTATTATCACTTATTAATACTCCTCCTCGATAAGGTATGGATTCGGTATATAGGTCCCACAAAACGGACAGTAAACAGAAACTTACTACGTAACTTTAGTGATGGCAATGAGGCGAGGCGGGGCGGGTACCTCAATTTCCATGACCCGCCCCACGCTACTACGGGTCGGGGCAGGTAAAACCCGCGCGGGTACGGGGGGCGGGGCGGGTCGACCTACTCTTACATGTTGTTCAAAAAAAGTACAAGTAAATTTTACTTTTTACAATAAAACGCAGGGAAAAACACTTTAAGAATGAAAAATATTGATAATATAATGGATGTATGAGCCTAACAAGTTGAAAGATCGACTCTAACTAGTTGAAGAAAAGTCAAAATAGAAGAAATATGTATAGATATTGTTAGAAATTGAGATAAAATGAGTCTAGAACGGGGCGGGATGGGGCAGGGCGGGTCGAAAGTAGATACCCATGCTCCGCCCCACGCTACTGCGGGTCAGGTAATACCCGCCCCATCGCGGATCAGGTCGGGTAATACCCGCGGGCGGGGCGGGTTGAAATTACCATCACTACGTAACTTGGTACCTACGTACGTACACACACGCCATTACCAATTACAGAACATTGTAATCAAACCCTAGCCTAGCTAGGCACCTTCTCATCATATTGAATCATTAATCTTTTGCTTTCTTGGGTTCTACTCTACCGCTTGTGAGGAAAGAGACGCACAGGGAGACCTTTAGCCGGGATGGGCATCGGATCCACCACAATATTTTCGTCAGGAATAAGCTTCTGGAACCTGAACCGCTTCACCAGATGGCACATGAACACCAGGATCTCCAGCCGAGCGTATTCCTTCCCACTCCCAGTGCACATCCTGGGGCCGCCACCGAACGGAGAAAACGTGTAGAGCGGCGGGCCCACCTTCGAACCTGCTTGGGTCGAACCTCTCTGGCTCGGAGAAGTACTGCCCGCTTTTGTGGGTTGAATTCGCGCTTCAATACAACTACGTATGTAAATCCGATCGATATATGATATACATAAAACGGGAAACTGAATTATCATATTTATATACGTACCCACACAAAAGTAACGTACTTTCCAGCCTTTTGGGATGAAGAAGCCACCTTGAAGCGGAGGGGCGAGCCAGATAACTTCACAAGCTACGTTCCATGAGTATTTCATCTTCTGGATGTCCTCCCAGTTCAGCAACTCTCCTGCCCCTTTTTGTTTTGATATCTCCATTTGCTCTGTTTTTTTTTTTTTTTTTGAATTTAATGTAACAACGGTAGAGAAATTAGAATACAATGGAAACCCTTGTTTTATTACTGAAATTTTATATTAATGTTTCCAAAATCGCACAGAAATTGAACAGGAAAAGTTAATTGTTAACCACTAAGGGGTGGTGGAGGTGGTGTAAAGGCGCAAGATTGTGTCCAGAAGGTCCTGGGTTTGATCCTTGGCAGCCGCCACTTCTGCGTTACCCCTTGGTTGCCACTGGCAGCGCTGTAAGCTCGTATAAAATGATCTTAGCGTTTGCCGGTTATCTATGGGAGTCGTGGTTTGCCATCGCAAGACGGATTTCTCCTAATATAAAAAAACAGCTAGTGGTTGATGTTTCAACTGTCAACCATTATTGAACTGTTAGTTAACCGTTGATTGAGCCGTTCATCCGTTATAACATAGAAGGTATATAATACATGTAGGAGTAAAATTATCACTAATCATAAACAAATTCAAATCAATATTATCTGTCACCCAAAAGTTCAAATAAAGTATTCAAACTATCTCACAAAATCAATCAAATTTATTATTATTGAATTCAAGGATGTAATCAAGGTGACAATCCATAGTAGGCCATATAAACCTGACAAGGAGGTTGCGTATGCCAAAAAGGAAACATAAATAAAATTAGTGATTGAGGTTAAATGAACTTACTTTAAGTTAAACTAGCTATGTTGGTTTGTTTGTTTTTGTTGTTACAGTCGTTTCTCCATTTTTTATGGGAAGTGATGTCGTTATTACTTTGATTTTTGGGACACTGTTCTGTTGGTTGTGTGATGAGGGGTGCGTAACAACATAGTTAATAAATACTCTGTTTAATACACGTATATTTACTCGTACGTACTTTATCCGTTTAAAACTTCCGTATCCTTATATTGTCAAATCGTTTCATTTGTTTCCGTTCATTTGATGGCTTCCGTACTAAACACTTATAAAACCCGTATAACACGTTTAATATTCGTATTTAATGAATTAAATTATTAACTTTATAATTTTTATATATTTATTTATTTTTAAAAATAATTAATTTTATATATTTATGACTATTAACGTACAATTAAACGTAATAATAGCTTGAGATGAAGTAAAATACCCATACGTATATTATACGTAACTTTCCCGTACCGTATTTTACTAACTATGCGTAGGAGGGCTTTGTGACAATTTATAGGCAAATGAAATATTGATGATTCATTGTGGAATTTAGTTCTCAAAGTGATTATAATTAGAAGGTGGTTGGTGCCGATTAATTAATTAATGTAAGCTGAAGGTTATTTTGTTTAGAACATAATCAATCCTCTAATGTCTGAAAGTTTTATAGATTAGCAAAGACTTGCTTGCTGTCGCTTCGTCCAGGAGCAAGAATATATAATATTAAGTAAAAAATAATACATAATTATTATAAATGGCGAATAGTGAACTGTAATAGTACGATGTCCAAGAATACTGATAATAGAGGTCAAAAGAACATCTAAAGTTCAGTTTTCTACTTGTGCAAAACACAATTTGAAAGAGTAGATATATGTTAGGTAATCTTTGTATAGAGTCATTATAAGCTACCCCTCTATGGGTAGAAGCGAATTGGACATGGCGAGTTTGGTCGGTTGCCAAAGTTGGCTTCATTGTAACAATTGGCAGCATGGTGTGCCAAACAACAACAATGTCGAAGATGTCGGCTCTAAGTTCATTGTGGGGTACGTTCTTGTTTTGCTACTTTCTAGCCAACCGCGAGACGTTTCTCTTCAATTTGGTAAAATCTGCTTGTCTCATTTTAGCCATATTTTTATCCAAAATTATCAATTAGCTTGTTGACACAATGCAAAATTAATAAACAGAATATAAAAAGAACACTTTTACTATGCTATATGCTATAAAGTATGAGTGTTTTAATGTACAACTTAAAGTTGTACCATAACGTAAAATGTATAAGTTTGGGTTGTATCCTAAAGGAATTTGTACCCTTATGTTATGGTACAACTTCACAACTTTAAGTTGTACCATCACATAAAGGTACAAGTTCAAGTTGTATCATAAAAGAATTTGTAAAATAGTATAGGTACAAGGTGAAGTTATACCATAACGTTAAAGGTACAACTTGAAGTTGTACCATAAAGGCAAAAACCTATAGCACCAATGCTATATCGCATTGTAAAATTTCTCATATAAAACACCTAACCAACTATAAAACTACCTCTTTTTCAAAGCAAGCTAACTTGTCATTTTTTAATGGAAATAGTTGTTTTGTTATATCGTGATACTTGTATGAGATTTTTGTTGCTTTTAAACGTTTGTGACCATTTTGTTATGGACTCAAACCTATGGGACCATTTTGATCAATTACCCTATATATTGATGTGTTTCAAGTCCTTCAAAATTTGCTAACCTTCTGTCATTTGCTGGGAGATTTGATTGGAGAGGAACGAGCGGATATAAGAAACTTCCATAGCTACATTACCACCGGATCGGACGGTGTATACAGGGTCCGGGTACTTCTTTTTTTTAAATATGGGATTTCATTAAATGAAACCAAGGTAAACGAATTTTGGGCCTATACCCCAAGGAAGAAACATCAATATTTGGGCTCAGGCCTACAAAACACAACAGATAGCAAAATAAAGCCCAAACACATAGATCATGAAATGTAAAACCCTAAACCTAATCCATTTCAAATAGATGGAGAGCAGCTGCCGCCCCAGGAGAGTTCCATCATCCACCGCCGACGGGAAGAGCCGCAAGATATCTGACCAAGAAACGCATGTATCACTACAACAAAATTACTCTTCTGTGACGAGTTTTTTCGTGATGGGTCAAATTTTGTCACATAAAGTACATTTTATGTGACAAAAAATACTGATAGTCACCAAAAGTTCAAAAAGAAATTTACACCCTGCAAAACATCATTCGTGACAGAAATAATTTTTTCTGTGACAGAGTCAAGCGTCACCTATAGATCATTGTTTTCTGTGATGCAATTTTTCGTCACATATATTGAATGTTCTTTTTGTGATAGTGTTGATGGTCACACAAAATATTATTTAATGAGAAAAAGTTAAAATAAAAATTAGGGCAGGCCCCTTCTAAAATTTTGCCCCTCCCACTCTGTCTCTCTCGTCTAACCTCCCGCTCGCGTAGAAGAAATAGAATCGAGCTCCTCAAGAAAGAAACATGACTTTCTCCTTCTCCGAGGAATCTCCGTTGCTCCGAACACCGAAACTGCCGACGGTGGCAGGAAGGCAGCGTAGCAGGTAGCCAAATCCAGCGCTCAAATCAGATCTCATCCATTTCCCTTCGCTCCCCCTTTATCTCTATATGATCTTAAATCCCTAGATCCATTGCTTCAAATCAATTTTGTGAATTCCGAATCAATGGCTTCATATTGATCCCATAGGATTCGTGCAATCCAAGAAGGTTAGTAGCATCGATTAGCTTAGATTAATATCCTCAAAGTTCATGGTTGTTCTCATTCCTCCATTCGAGAGTTAGATCTGAGATCTCCATATCCGCCATTTTAGATTCGGGTGCGGAAGCGATGGTAGTTCGATTTCGTCCATTTGTTTACACCTAATTCCAGTTTTATATTATGTTTTGTGTATTTCAGATGAAGACTGACCAACTTCGTAGCACTTGGCTGGTATAGAGGACGTCCTCGGGTTGTGTTGCCGTGAACGATGATGAATGTTGGAGCTTTCCTGGTCATGCCTCCAGATTTAAGGTAATACACTAAAATCACCTTGAATTGGTTTATCTCCTACAAAATGGACTCTTTCCCTCTGGTTTCAAAGCATGGGTTCAGTATTCCCAAAAGTTAAACATATCAGCAGCCCTTTCAGAGTTTTGATAAGGTCTCTGTATGTAATTGGGGTTGTCTTATGCATCGATTAACTAATATTCTTATACGATAGAGTGTTTGTAATTTGATTTAATGAGTTGTTAGGTTGCTCATTGTTTGAACATCCTAACCACACATTCCATCTTTACCTGCTTCTCTTTGAGATATATGAAACACAAAAAAATCAAGCTATCTTTTGTGAGTTGCCTAAGCTAACCTGCCTTAGAACGTTATTAAGTTGGGTTGCCTAAGAACGTCTCTTACAAATTCATAATGAGTTTAGTTGAGTTGAGTTCTAAGCAATATATTATCATCAAATGGATGGGTATGAGACTAGGTTTTCAGTTACACTTAAGTATTTCAGCACATCTAGAGGATTCAATTCCCTATCACAGTCTCAAAATAGGGCCCTGATTCAATGGCCGATACTATTCATTCCATTATTGGATTGCTTTACTTTACCGTCTACATCTAGGAACTGTTAAACCAGCCATTGCTGCAATTTAACACCTGCCACCCCAGGTTTAACGTTCCATAAAATGTTCATTTCTTTGTCATAACTTGAAAAATTAAACTGAATTGCTATCACCAAGATAAGATCCTCGTACTGTATTATTTCTTTTATCAATGTTCCTAATCTATATGTTAACTAATGAATATGAGACTTTTTCTCTTTTGCCTTTGAGAATACATTTACTATGGGAAACTTGCAAGGTATAGCCTTCCATAAGTTGCAGGTAAACCATAAGTACACCTACTCTGGTTTTGAAGAAAGCAGTCCTGCCATTACAGACTGCTCTAGGTATCATTTATTAACTGATCGGTAGCATCTCAATGGATCAAGTTCTCTTCAGTTTGCTTTCACTTTTGTATTATCATTCGTGCTTTACTTAAATTCGTCTCTCCTACATAGCATTAGGAGCATAATAATTTACCATCGCTTTTATTGGAC